GAAATGTGCAAAGCACAGCAGCAGATAAGAGGGAGCTAGCTAGCTAGCTGTAATAGTTGCAGAATTTTGGCGGGGGGAGGCAAACCCCTCAGTTCACTCCACAGTGACGTGTAGAAGGCGAGCTGATGGTTCCGCTATGGGTAAGAGCCCTTGGAGCTGCCTCTGGGTCCCTATTACCCTCGACATCAGTCAGGCTTCGGTCCCGCGGGGCTGTAGGCACCTCAGCATGTCACCGCAGCTTTCGGATCGGCTGCGAGGCCGCTGGAGCAGATGGAGTGGGCGCTAGGGAGCCGCACGTCGCCTCGGGAGGCCCCTTGCTTTGGCGGCCCAGGCTCGGCCTGTCATGTCAGGATGGGCTGCACCCTGTGTCCTCAAGCCACCCGGGACACCCGACTCCAGGCTGGGAACTGCGGGTCCTGGGGACAGGAGCAGGAGAGCCGCGGTAACCGAGCTCTGCAGCCACGAGGGCGCGGCATCCACGACCGCTGTCCCTGGCCCCTGGAACTGTCGCCATCCCGGAAGGGCAGTCACAGGGACATCCTCCGCAGTCGGAAGTCAGGGAAGCCCCAAGGCCCCGGGCTGGCCCTCCGGTCCCGCCCTGCCCTCACCGACGCCCCTCCCTCGCATGCCACCCCTACCTGAGCGGAGGCGGTAACCCAACAAGGACGGGGGCGGGGCTCGAGGAAGGCCGGTGCGCACGCACAGAGATGGGCGGGCCTTGGCTTCGCCTAGTGGCTGACTGCTATCGGCTGTGGGATGAAGGCGTCACGCTGCCTATCACGCTGCTCCCTGCGTAAGGACAGTGACGCTTACAGGTTGAGCACCACATGTCCATTTCGTTCCACCGACCAGTTTCCATAGAGTGCCTCCGGTTACTGTGCACATTCAGAAAACTAAAATAATCACTGCTTGTAGGGGCTTGGCATTTTCTCTTAGAAATAAATTCAATCTTCAGCACTGGAATTCTACGTTGTGGTCAGGCAAATGGGAATAGAGACAAACAATATAGCCCTAGTACTTTAAAAGACAGAATCCTGTTGGACGGTGGTGGCGTACGTCTTTAATACCAGTACTCGGGAGTTCGAGGCCAGTCTGGTCTACAAAGTGAGCTCCAGGACCCTGACTCAAAAAAACTGAAAGATGGGGGCTGGAGAGATGGCTCAGAGGTTAAGAGCATTGCCTGCTCTTCCAAAGGTCCTGAGTTCAATTCCCAGCAACCACATGGTGGCTCATAACCATCTGTAATGAGGTCTGGTGCCCTCTTCTGGCCTTCAGACATACAGACAGAATATTGTATACATAATAAATAAATATTTAAAAAAAAACCTGAAAGATAGATTAGATAATAGATAGATAATCCTATCTTTGGGTTCTTTTAAAATCTCTTTAATAGTCATGTAAGTACATTAGGGGTGGGGGCGGCGAAAGGGAGTCGCAGGTGTCATCCTCCCCCAGAATGCTGTCTGCTTCCTTGAGACCCGTCTCTCACTGATTAGGCTAGGCAACTTACCTGGCTTTTTCTTTTTCCCATGGGAGTTAGAGATGGAGTGTAGGTTTGCTCAAGCTCTTTACTGAGCCATCCCCAACCTCACATTCTAATCCTTGGAGCCATGACTTTGTGGAGACAGGTGGGGTGATCCTCCTACCTCTGCCTTCAAGTATCTACGGTTACAGACAGGCCTGTAACCTGACTTGGAGACAGCAGATTAACAGCAGCCTTCCCAGTTCACACCAGGCGCCAACCTTAGATCCCTTAGGGGCTCCACAGATGATTTACGTGAGAGAGCAGGAAAGTTAAACCTGACCTTGGCCAACTGTAAGTTCAACACACGGGAATTCACAAATTCAGGGCCTCTCTGAGCTACAGGATGAGTTCAAGATGAGGATGGATACCTTGGCAAGACCCAATTATGGAAGAAAAGGACAGAGAAAGTGCATCCATTAGAAATAATGATGAGAGCCAGGCAGTGGCAGCACACACCTTTAGTCCCAGCAGTCAGGAGGTAGAGGCAAGGGGATCTCTGCGTTCAGGACCAGTCTGGTCTACAAGAGCTAGTTCCAGGACAGGCTCCAAAGCTACAAAGAAATCAGTTCTCGGAAAAACAAAAAAACAACAACAACAAAAAAAGAACAAAACAACAACAACAAAAAAGGTAGATACACTTGTCTGTTCAACTGGTGGACAAAGGCAGGTTAGATAACTGCAAAATAAATCCTCTTTGGAAATCCAGAACTCATTGTTCAGTATGAGGTGTTTTTGTTTTCAGAGACATAATTTCTCAGGACCAAAACGAAAAAACAAACAAAAAAAGAAGTCCCCCACAATAGTGGTTTTTACTTAATAAATCAAAACTCTTAGCCAGGCATGATAACAGGCACCTTTAATCTCAGGAGAAACAGACGGAGCTCTGTGAGTTCGAGTCCAGCTGGTCTCTAAAGTGAGTTCCAGGACAGCCAGAGCTACACAGTGAGACTGTCTCAAAACAAACAAAAAAACACAGCCTCCCTCCCAAAACCAAACAAAAATCCAGGACTTTTTTGTTTCACGGCATTGTGTAGCTCTGGCTGTACCCTGTATCTTTTGAGTGTAGAAAGAGAGGAATGGGCTTTGTAGATCAAGCAGGAGTGAGCTGGAGGTTCCAGCTTAACAATTACATCGTAAGAGTCACCTTAGCACAGGTTTCTCCGGGTACCAGCTTCTAAACTAGGTAACTGGAGGAAACTGAGCATGGTGGCATATGCCTTTAATTGCAGGATTCAGGAGGCAGAAGCAGGCAGATCTGAGTTGGTCTACAGAGTGAGTTTCAGGACAGCCAGGGCTACAGAGAAACCACCTCAAAACAATAACAAAAGAGAGGGAGGGAGGAAGGAAGAGAAGGAAAAGGAAAAGCTGAAGCAGAAGCAAAGAAATCATAAATTGTTTGCATTGAATCTATGTTGGCTATAAATAGTGAAACAACTCAAAGTTTTGTGATGGATGGACAGTCTACAGGAATTCTTGTAAACTAGTTTCAGTAACACTCATCTACAACACCAGGACTTGGACTGAGGTAGGAGGATCAGGAGTTCAAAGGTCATCCTCAACTGAACAGCAAGTTTGAGGCAACCTGAAACACTTGAAACACAACAAAAACCCCGGCATAACAGCACTTCGGAAGTCAGAAACAGGAGGATCTCTGTACGTTCAAGGCCAGCCTCATCTACACAGTGAGCTCCTGGTCAGGCAGATAGACATAGTGAGACCCCGTCTAATGCAAACAAGAGCCCACTAACTTCTCTCTCCTTTCCTCTCTCTTTCTGCCTTGAATGTAGGGCATCTTGGGATTTTCTATTACACCATCCCGCAGGAAAATGGCTGGAGACTTTTTAAGCACTCCATATATTGGAGAGCAAAGAACTTTTTAGAATAGTGAAAGCCAGAGAGGAAGAGGAGATAAAATGGGACTCTACAGGTGCTGAACCTCTTCTAAGCTGGCCTGCTGCAGACCAGGCTCTGTGCCGGTAGGCAGATGACAGAACCAAGGCCTGTGCTCCCTCAAAACCAAGCTCCAAGGTGCACGCCTTTAATTCCAGCACTCAGGAGGCAGAGGCAGGGGAATCTGAGTTTGAGGCCAGCCTGGTCTACAAGTTCCAGGACAGCCAGGGCTAAGTAAAGAATCAAGAAACAAAAAGCAAGCTCTAGGGTTGGGGAGGTAAATCAATGTTAGAACACTAGAATATCAGCCTCTAGATTTGATACAGGAGCCTGTGTGTGTGTATGTGTGTGTAATGAAGATTTCCTTAGGCATAGTAGTTCAGATGTGTAATTCCAGCACTTGTAAGATAGAGATGGTTAGAAATTAAGAGAACATACTCCAGAGCACCTGAATTTGGTTTCTAGCATCCATGTGGGATGGCTCATATCACCTGTAACCAGCCCCTTTTGTGTTCATCAGGCATCTGCTCAGGTATATACATAGTCACACATATACAAATAATTTTTAACTGGGGGTAGAAGGGTGTCTCAGTGGTTAAGAGTGCTATCTAGGAGTACTTTCTTCCAGACAACCTTAATTTGTATAACTGTACCTAGGCTGGGTGGCTTACAATAATCTAACTTCAGCTCCAGGGGATCTAGTACCCTCTTCTGGCTTCCACAAGTACCTGCATGAGCACATGGTATGCAGAGACATTCACACCTAGTATATATGCACATAAATGATTTTTAAAATTTTGGCTTTTATTCAATATGTTAAGACATAATTTAAATAAAAACCAAAAACTTCTCTTTAACAGATGTGAGACATGGGGACAATTAAGTCCCACCCACCTTGTCTGTGTATCACCCCTGTAATTACCACTGATTAACAGATCTAAACAGATTACTTGGGGGAAGTTTCAAACCCATTCCAAAGTTCCAAGAATAATCAAGACTTCTCAACAAATGTTAACACTGTGAAGTTTACCTAATTCCTCTGCATAAATATACATAAACATGCCCATTTCCAAGACATGAAAGCTAGTTGTTGGCATCATTAAACTTCAATTTGGGACTGTACTGCTGTAAAAACAGGGATATTCTCCTAAACAACCATAACACCATAATCACACTTAACACATACAAACAAGTCACGAGTGTGTCAGAAACGTAAGCATGTTGCCAGGCAGTGGTAGCGTGCACCTCTGATACCAGCGCTTGGCCTGGGCTGTGGTGGCGCATGCCTTTAATCCCAGCACTCGGCAGGCAGAGGCAGACGGATCTCTGTGAGTTTGAGGCTGGCCTGGTCTACGAGAGCTAGTTTCAGGACAGGCTCCAAAGCTTTGGAGAAACCCTGTCTCAGGGTGGGAAAAAACAGTCCTAAACAGTATCTGGGAGTCAGAAGCAAGTGGAGTTCTATGTTCGAGGCCAGCTTGGTCTACTGGGCAAGATCTGTAGATGGCCAGAGTTACACAAGAAATCCTGTCCTGAAAATTAAAAAAAAAAAGGGGGGGGGGGGAGTAGAAGAGGAAGCAATACAATCTATAGAAAAGAATATTTTATTGAAACAGTTTCTCAATTAACAATGGAACAAAGTACAATTCGATTCAAACCTGTCCAACCAGCCTGAACTACTAATGAAAGAACTCAAACATACAGGAAGGGGGACTGTGTAGGACCTTTAGGTCCCTCTGCCAATGTGGCAAAAAAAAAAAAAAGGAGGGGGAGTTGTTAGGGCAGGAGAGAAAAGACAAAATGACTGACATACCAGGTTTGCTTTGCCCCAGGGTGGAGAAGTCCCAGCTCCTGCTACAGGTGCAATACTGGAGGACAGGCACTCTAGACATGGGCATAGGGGTAAGGGGCGTTCCCTCCTAGCAAAGTACACTGGGAAGCTGAGCCCTGACTCCACTTCTTTACCCACAAAGCCTGCCTGAGAGTGAGGTGGCATTTTTACATTCACACCATGGTCACTCTGTCCCTCAGTCTCGGGAAAGGGGCTCACAGTAGATAGCACGTCTTTTGGTCAGCCCAGGAGAAAGAGGGAAAGAACATGAGAGAAGGGGTAGGTGTCACAGGAACTGGGGATAAGGATGGGGATAAGGATTGCAAGTGCCTGCAGGATACTTGCATCCTTGCCAACCGTGCTACATACTTCCTGGGCCCAACCAAGGGGTGACAGGGCTTTTACATTCTCTCTCCTTTCCCTGGGCAGGGGATTCCCTTACTTGCTCCCTGTTTGCTCTGGCCACCAGGGGTCGCAGGAACCAGAGAATATAGTTACAGAGTCCTGATGACTAAAAGCTTCGTGCTAGAAGACTATAGCCCAATCTGTACTGGGAAGGCAAGGACAGAAAGAGCCAAGGGCAAGAGGAAGGGCAAGGGAGAGAGAAGACACAGGAAAGAAAAGAGGCACTCGGAAACCAGAGGTGGTGATTGAGGCTCTGCAGACACTGGCCCAGACAGGACACTGATTTTGTGGAACGGGAGAGGATGAAAGGATGCTCAGAGAAGACTGGGCATTCTTTAGTGTCCCAAAACATCCTTCCCACTACCAGGTCTCCAACAACTACGGGCAGTCATTATCTAGCTCACTTACCCACAGGCAAATAATTAAGACATAATAGTGATTTTTCCCAAACACAGGGCCAAAGAGTAGGAGACCAGAGGGTGGAGCTGGGGACAGAGCTAGATCCGGTTTCAGCCATGGCGCTATTCCAGAAGGACTGCTAAGCAGCCACCTCCTGTCCCAGCTAAGAGAAGGAACTGGAGCCCCTAACAGCAGGAGCAAACCCGGCCCCAACCCTGATGTTTAATAAATAGAGGTGGTAGGAGAAAGAGCTGGAGGCAAGTGGGGAGACAGGAGGTGGGGTTATAGTTCGTCATTCTTCATAGGCCGCTTCTGTCCTGCTGTCTGCTCTTTCTGTTCAGATTCTGTTGGGTGGTGGGGAAAGACAGGGAAGAGAGGATGGGGGCATAAGGCTCAACAGCCAGTTCCTCTTTTTCCCTCCAACCCTAACAAGCTGCCCAGTACCCTGTGCTTCATTCTTACCTGCTCCAGGACCTCCTAATTCCAGAGGCTCAGAGTCTGCTGGCTCCGCAGCTGCAGTGTAGAAGAAAAACATCAGTCATGAAGAAGTGAGATGCTAACACAGAGGATACAAACCCAGGTGGTAAATATAACGCTTGTGAGACACATTTAGGGTCTCTGCCTACTTTTTTTTTTTTTTTTTTTTGGTTTTTTTTCGAGACAGGGTTTCTCTGTAACTTTGGTGCCCATCCCGGAACTAGTTCTAGCTCTTGTAGACCAGGCTGGCCTCGAACTCCCAGAGATCTGCCTGCCTCTGCCTCCCGAGTGCTGGGATTAAAGGCGTGTGCCACCATCGCCCGGCCTCTGCCTACTTTTTAAAAAATTTTTTATTTATTATTTATGGGTGTTTTGCCTACATGTATGCCTGTGTATTTCATATGTGCCTTGGAGGCCAGAAGAGGATCTGGGTCCTCTAGAACTAGAGCTACAGACATCTGTGAGCCCTCACATAAGTGCTGGAAATACAAACTGGATCCTCTGGAAGAGCAGCCAGAACTCTTAAGCACTGAGCCATTTCTCCAGCCCCTCCCCCCTACATTTTTTTTATTTTAAAAATCAGACATATTCACTTTATGTGTGAGTAGTTTGCCTGCAAATATGTATGTCTGTGCACCACACCTATGCTTGATGTCTGCAAAAGACAGGAGAGCACTGGAGCCCCTATAACTGGAGTTACAGATGACTATGAACCATGGGAAATGAAGCTGGGTCCTCTGCAAGAGCAACAAGTGTTCTTAACAGCTAAACCATCTCTCAGCAGCTTTGGCTACCATGAAACTCACTAATGTAGGCCAGGCTGGCCTCAAACTCAGATATCTGCCTGCATCTGCATGTCCTGTGCTGGGCACCATGCCATGGCCAGCAAATCTTTACTTTAAAAAAAAAAAAAAAAAAAAAAGAGCCGGGCAGTGGTGGCGCACGCCTTTAATCCCAGCACTCGGGAGGCAGAGGCAGGCGGATCTTTGTGAGTTCGAGACCAGCCTGGCCTACAGAGCTAGTTCCAGGACAGGCTCCAAAGCCACAGAGAAACCCTGTCTCGAAAAACCAAAAAAAAAAAAAAAAAGTTTTGCCCATGCATATGGAGGCCCAAGGGTGATGCAGCGTTTCTCCCTCACTGCTTCCTACCTTACATACTAAAGCAAGGTCTCTGGCTTGATCCAAAGCTAGCAATCCATCTGGATTAGCTAACTAGCCTACTCTAGACAACTGCCTTCTCAATATTTTGGGTAAGTGGGCAATATGCCTGCCTGGCATTTACACAGGTGCTGAGGATTTGAACTCTGATCCTCACGTTGTTTAAACCTTTACCTACTGAGCATCTCCCCAGCATGTTTGTGCCCTTTTTTCTTCTAAAGAAAAAACACAATACTTTTAAAACTAGAGGTCACCCACAGTTCATGGGCTGAGCAGAACCAGACCATGCCTGCCAGTTTGCCTGACTTAAGAAATGTCACGTTCCAAACCAGTTTTCCCAACTCACCAGTCTCTTCTTTGTCAGGTTCTAAAATGGGTTTTGCCTCTTCAGTTTGACCTAGAAGGAAACCAGGAGTTAGCAGCAGCAGCCCTAGGAGAGATGGGTGGCTTTTCTCTGCCCACAGTACAGTGGAGCCAGCACCCTCTCCCCTCACCTGCAGGTGGAATGACCTTCTCCCCCTGGTCACCAGCACTGGCATTGAGGGGAGGTTCTGTCCGTGTGCCATTCTTGTCCTTGGGCCGTGGCCGGGGTTTGGTAAACTTGGCCTTATTGAGCAGATACTGCACCTCACGGTCCAGGGCCATCATCTTGGCCTCAATGTCTTTTGAAAGCAGCACAGGCTTCTCTGTGGCAGGAAGCTTGGCCTGCTCGGCCAGAGTTGCATTCTTCCAGGCCTGTGGGTGAGGCCAGGGAAGACTCAGAACTAGCCAGAGATTTAGCAGGTGTCACTTTCACCCAGTTAAGGCAACTCCTACTGACTGCAAACCACCCTGCCACCCTCAGCATCCCAGCTAAAGTGTCCAGTCACACGTTCAGAGTGATTACCCAGGTGTCATTGATGACTTTCTCTAAGGTTGTCATCTCCACCTCAGTGAAGATCTGGTCCATCTCTGGGAGAAGTCGGGCACCCCTAGAAGCCAAAGAGAAGACGGATCAGCCCAGTGCAGAGGGCCTGAGCCAGAGGAAGGGAGCTGACAAAGAGGGAACCACACAAGGAAGGGAGGCAGGAGCACTCACTTGAGGAAGATGCTAGAGTGGTTCAGGAGATTGTCCAAAGCTGAGAGCCGCTCCGGCCATTTCCTGCGCTCTTCCACCCGAAAAAACAACCCCTGGCACAGCTTTCTCAGCTCAGTCAGCTTCTCCTTCAACATCTGATGGACATGAGGAGGAGAAGGAGAGTTGAAGTAGTAGCAGGAGCGCCCTGGACCCAGGCCTGCATCTTGCTTCATGGCCTGACACCCCAGCTCTTCTCACTCTGGTTCTAGGAGGGAGGCCAGCACTCCATCTGCCTAACACATCCTAGAGGGCCCCTCACCACAGTGGTGGCTCCAAATCCCTCATCCTCCAGCCAGACAGAAGCAGCGCTGAGTTTCCCAGAGATCTCCTCCCGCTGCTCCTCAGTGGACACTTCCTGGTACTCAGGTTGGTAGAGCTTGTCCTAGTAAAGAACACAAATCCATATATGGAGTGAGCTTTGGGGCAAGGATCAGAGCCACATGCCCCCAAGTGCAAGTTCCAGGAGCAGGGTGTGCTTGCTGCCCCTGCCTGCTAACCTGGGTCTCAAAGATAAAAGCTTCCAAGCTGTTGGCAGCTTTCTCCCTTTCCTGCTTTGCTAGGTCTCGGAGGGTCAAGTCCTCAAGTCTGTGGGATGAACAAGACAGGGATAAGGTGGGCTTTGAACGCCCCGCCCTTCCAGGATCACCTTTCCACATCCTGCCCATCTTCCACACATTCGCAGCACTCACTTCTGCACTGAACGGGCCAGCTCATCCTCTGGCAAGTCTGGCAGGTCCAAGACAGCCAGCTCCACACCTATCTCCTCCACCATTTTCTGCTTCCGGGCAGGTTTCTGCTTTTTTTCTTCTTCAGGAGCTGGAGGGACACCCTCAGGCCCTGACTGTCCTTTCTCTTCAGGCTTCTAAGTAGAAAGAGTAGTGATGTCAGGCAAAAATTGGCTGCACCTCCTCCATGGGGCATAAACCAAGCAACTGCCATTCACTTATCAGCCCCTGGATGGCAGTCTGCCCTGTGGGAGCTCACCTGGGCCTCAGACTTGTCGCTACTTCCTTTGTCATCAGGCTTTTCTCCCTCAGGGGCTGCAGCACCCTTGGACTCAGGGGGTGGAGGCTGAGAGGTGTCTTCCGCAGGGGCTTCAGTTTCCTCCTTAAGCTCCGTCTGCTCTCCAGGTTCTTCCTTGCTTCCCTCAGTAGGGCTCTCCTCTTCCTCCTGAGAGATAATTACAGAAACCCCAGAGGTTATATATACTACTAACTCAGCCTATGGCCATATTTAGCCTTGACCATATCAGCTCCTTTGCTTGGGGACTAGCAGATGGTACCTGTGTGTACAGTCAGGGGTTGTTGGAATTTGCAGAAATATAGGTTAACAAAGGGAGGGTAGGCAAGAATGAGAATTAAGCCTTGGGATCTGGTAATAGCTTTAAGTCTATGGAAGCAGGAGTAGATCAACCTGCCACAGGCTGAGAAAAGACAAGATGGGGACCAGTGAGGTCCTCTCAAGTCCAGGAAACTGGAAAACTACCAGATTCTGCTTCTGTCTACATTAATCCAACTCAACCCCCTCGCTATTCCCCATGCTTCTCTACCCTTACCTGTACAGCATCAGTACCATTCTCTTTGGCATCTGATGAGGTACCACCTCCAAACAGGCTGGAAATGGTGTTGCCAAGTTCTAGGAGGAAGTCCAGAGGTTTATGAGAAAAATCAAGCAGTGAACCCACTTCCCATCATCATCAATGCCATCACCTCCCCTAAGCACACATGTATGTTTACTTTTGCTTGCTCACGCACACTTGCATGCACAGACAGGAGCCCGTTTGCATCTTACTGGTAAGAGTAGATTCTTCCTCTGGGTTTTCCTCCACCAAGGTCTCAAATACAGACTCCACCTATTTTAAAACAAGTTCAAAATAAAGAACTGCATATCAATCCACACTGTCTCGCAAGCACATTGCTTGTGCATACACTAGGATTACAAAATGACTTGCAGCTGTGGCGGACTGCCGTCCCACCTTTTAGGGCTCCTGGACAGCCACAACCCCTGAGTGCTGGCACTCTCGGGACAGGCTCACTGCTCTCCTTAGAGCCGTCCATGTCTCTACCAGAACACAGTCTCTCAGTGTGCCAGAAGATATTAATTCAAAGTTACTCTTTAGAAATGGGCTCATCTGGGGGCTGAAAAACTGGCTCAGCAGCTAACAACATGGCTGATTTTCCAGAGAACCCAGGTTTACTCCCAGCACTGGCATGGTGGCTCTCAGTCCAGTTCCAGAGGATCTGACACCCTCTTCTGGTCTCCTTGGGCACCAGGCACACATATGATGCAGACATGTGCATGGAAAATACCCATACATATTTTATTTTTTTTCTGGGCTGGCAAAATGGCTTAGCAGGTAAAGGGTGCTTACTCTTATCAAAAGGTAAAAGGAAGAAAACCAACTAATTTCCTCTGGCCTCTATGTGTGCTGTAGTCTGCTTCCACCCCACACTCAACCATATATACATATACTCAAAAAATTTATCTCTGCGAGTTCGAGGCCAGCCTGGGCTACAAGAGCTAGTTCCAGGACAGGCTCTAAAGCTATAGAGAAGCCCTGTCTCTAGGGGGTTGCACAGATAGCTCAACAGTTAAGAGCACTAGCACAGATGTACATGTAGGCAAAACACATGATTATTAAAAAAAAATCTGTGCTGGGCAGTGGCAGCACACGCCTTTAATCCTAACACTCAGGAGGCAGAGGCAGGTGTATCTCTGTGAGTTTGGTCTACAAAGCAAAATCCTGGACAGGCTCCAAAACTATTTGGAGAAACCCTGTCTCGAAAAACAAAACAAAGCAAAAAAAAAAGTTCTGTATGTCCCTCTTATCAAGTTAAAGCGACCACCAACACGTGCTGACCACAAAGAGCCCCATTGTTTCACTGTGTTTAAAGCCAAGACTCATTAGATCTGCTCCGAAAATGCTTTGTGCTTATCCATCCTATGGAACCCTCTCTGGGAGGGCTGTGAAGGCCGGGAGGGCCAGGGTTCACCATCCCTACCCTGATAAGGGTTCTCTTTTGCTCTCACCCTGTCTAAACTGAGCACCCCACTCTCATCCAGGTTAAAGTGGGCCTTGATGCCTTTGGACTCATAGTCGGGATATTTCTTGAAGCTCTCTCCCACACCTTTTAGCTTCACTGTGGTCAGATTCTGAGAGCCAAATACCCTGGTTGGGAAGGAAAAGAAGAGTTTGAGGAGACCCACCTGCCCCAACCCCAAGCACATGCTCTGCTGGCAGGAGATGTCAGGGGCCCTACACAGGACACTCAGAAGGATGGACCCTCTCTCCAAGGCAGGCTGTTCACAACCCGACCCTAATCCACCTTCAGCCCTCTAAGCCCCGCACTTTCCTCCCGTCCTTAGGTCAGTCATCCAATAGGCACACCTCCCACACTCCCTGCACCATCCTGCCCCCGCCCCTCACCGAAGATCCTCAGGCCCCAGGAAGCCCAGGTCACCGTAGTTGATGTGAAAGTTGAAATCGTGGCTGTAGCGGTTAAAGGTGATAACTTTGCGCTGAGGGTAGGGCCCCATCCGGGAGAAGAGCACACGTTTATTGTGCTTCAGGCTTCGAACCCCAGGCTCCTCCTCCACCTCCCTTGTGAACTCCACCTACACAACAGGAAAGAGAAGGTACAATGGAGAGCCAGGGAAGATTCTGTGGGTAGGAGTGAGGGCATGAGATCTCTCGGTATTAAGAAAAGGGGCAGGCTGAGGTGAACAGAGACCTCACTTGGAGAAGCAATGGGAGTATGCCCACGGCCAAGCTTACCAGGATGGGGTAGATGACAGCATCACGCACAACGAACGGCTTCACCTTGAAGGCTTTGCTGAGTGCCGCCGCCTGGTACACAGCCCCCATGGCGGCTGCTTCATCTGCATTAATATTCTTTCCTAGTTCCTCCCTAGGAGACACAAACCTTAGCATTATCCGCCCGGGAGGGGCTGTCCCCAGCCTACAGCTAGGCAGAACTAGACTCCATGCCTAGCTCCCACACAGTACTCACTTGCCCACAGCCTTCAGCAGGACCTCTTGAACTTTGGGAACACGAGTGGCCCCACCTACCAAGATCACTTGCTCAATTTCATCCTGTAGAAGGGGAAGGCGAGATGCAGGAGTGAATGCCCGGCTCAGAACTGGCCCTTCCCTCGACACCCTGCGGGTCCCTCAAGTGCTTAGCAGGCACCTCTGCCTCCCTCTGGCACTCACCAAGCTCATCTCGGCACTCTGGAGGGCCTGCTGCACAGGCCCAGGCACTCTTTCAAACAAGTCTGCACACAACTCCTCGAACTCCACTCGAGTTACTTTTGCCTTGAAGTCCACGTCATCCATTAAGCCCTCAATCTGTGGGAAGAAGAACCTGTTGAGAAGTTCTGACCAGATCCTGCCTCTGGGCAAAAGATGACAAAATTCAAGAAGAAAGGCCCAACACCCTCATGGAGAAGAGCCCCAGGCCTGCCCTTCACTAGGCTCCCATGTGGGCACCTGTGCCATGTGGTCTGCATTGGCACTCAAGACGGTTTTAAGACGATTGGCTTCCCGAAGCAGTTTGGCCATGGCACGTGGGTTTTCCCGAACATCCTTGGCTTTCTGGCCCTTGCGTTGCTCATTGAAGAGCCTAGCCAGGTGTTCTCGCAGCCGAAGCTCCATCTCTAAGCCACCCAGAGTGCGATCAAACCTGTTCAAGAAAGGGAGCAGGTAAAGTGTAAGAACGTGGAGGGTCCTCCCACTGGCACAAGAGACAACAGCACTGAGCCTGCAGGCTCTCAACAGCACAAAGAGCAGCTCAGAGTAGCTCATCTGCCTGTTCAGTCAGGGTGCTGAGTATCAACTATTTGAATGTAGGTGGGAAAAGGAGCAGGAGAGGGGCCTGATGTCAAGGAGTTTATAATCAAAATACGAATAACTTCCCAAATGTGAAAACATACACACGTTTTAAAAAAGAAGCACCATAGCCAGGCAGTGGTGGCATACACCTTTAATCCCAGCACTTGGGTGACAGAGGTAGGAGAATCTCTGAGTTCAAAGCCAGCCTGGTCTACAAAATTAGTTCCAGGACAATGAGGCTACACTGAGAAACCCTGTCTTGTAAAATCCAAAACCAAAACCAAACCAAAACAAAACAAAAACATCCATAGCAGGGCAGTGATGGCTCATGCCTTTAATCCCAGCACTCGGGAGGCAGAGGTGGGCAGATCTCTGTGAGTTTGAGGCTAGCCTGGTCTACAAGAGCTAGTTCCAGGACAGGCTCCAAAGCTACAGAGAAAACCTATCTCGAAAAACCAAAAACAGAAAAAAGAAAGAAGAAAAAAAAAAGCACCCAGCATTAGGGAAGCAGAGGTAGATTTCTGTGAGTTTGAGGCTATTTTGCTCTATGTACAGACTTCCCAGGATAGCCAGGACTAAATAGTGAAACCTTGTCTCAAAATGAATGAAGAAAAAAAAAAAAAAATGAATGAAGAAAGGCAGATGAAGCTAGTGGAACACACAGGAAGTCTGCACTACTCAGAGCAGTCAGGGGAACCTTCCTTGATGCAATACACTGGAACTGAAACCTCAAGAAGAGCTGGAGTTGATTAGGTAGAGAAGAGAATGAAAAGACTGGCCGGCAGTGGTAGCACATGCCTTTAATCCTAGAACACTAGAGACAGAGGCAGGCAATCTCTGAGTAGAGTTCCTGGTCTACAAAAGGAGTTCCAAGAAAGTCGTCAACTGTTACACAGAAAACCCCCCTTTTTTTTTTTTTTTTTTGGTTTTTCGAGACAGGGTTTCTCCGTGGTTTTGGAGCCTGTCCTGGAACTAGCCCTTGTAGACCAGGCTGGTCTCGAACTCATAGAGATCCGCCTGCCTCTGCCTCCCAAGTGTTGGGATTAAAGGCGTGCGCCACCACCGCCCAGCTGAAAAACCCTGTCTTGAAAAACCAAAAATTGTTAAAAACAATAATAATAATAATAATAAGAGTGAAGAAAATTTTATACAGAATAGTTTTGCTAAAGATCCCAAGGCAGGAAATGGGAGGGAATGTAAGAATAAAAGGAGCAAAATAAAATAATAATAATAGGAGCCAGGCATCATGGCTCATTGTCTTTAAGCCAAGCACTTGAGAGACGGAGGCAGAGGCAGGCAGAGTTCTGTGAGTTCTGGGCCAGCCTGGTTTGCATAGAGATTCCAAACAGCTAAAGCCATGTAGTGAGAGCACCTCCAAAAAACAGTAAAAGAGCTCAGGTACAGTTGCAGGAGACAGGGCTCAAAGAGGCAGAGAGAGCACTGAAGAAATGGATTACTATCATATCGGTATTTCATTTATTCCTCTCTTCAGTGGTGCTGTGGATGGAGACCAGGGCCCATGAGCACTAGCTGAACAGCGAGGAGCTGAGAAAGGGGGTTCTAGGAGAGAGAGGCTTTGTGTTTTTCATACATGGTCTCATAAATTCTAGGTTGGCCTAGGACGCCATAAATAGCTAAAGGTGATTTTCAGTTTCTGAACCTCCTGCCTCCACTTCCCGGTGCCAGGATTACACCGCCAAGCCTTCTTTAGGAATGGTTTATTATTATTATTATATTATTATTGTTTTTTAAATTCTGTAGGTCAAGAGACAGACGCAGGACTATCAGAAGTTTTTGACAAACCTGGACAACACAGTAAATTCCAGGAATATACAGTTTGGTAGCAGAATGCCTATGTGAGCACATGTGAGACCCTAAGTCAACCTCAGTAAGAAGACAGATAATGACAGTGATACAGATAACCTCAATATGTCAAGAAAGCTGAGAAGCAGGTTGCACCTGATACTCAACCTCGCATGCACTCTCATGGGTTTCCTTAGAACACATTCAGCAGGAAGCTCCCTGCTTTTCAAACTCCCTAAAATGTCCCCTTCTCTCTCCTGCTTCCACTTCCTCTTTGGGAGCAGCCTCCCACGGCAAGCAGCGGATGTTATATCCAGGAAGTGTGTTCCTTCGGGGAGCAGAAGAAAAGCACCTGAGATCCAGGCAGAAAGCAAACCCTAAAGTCTTAGTAACTTACCCCACACCCCGTATCTGCAGCTGTGGTTGCATCCCAGCCTCCTTAGTCTTGACTGTTTGGTAGGTGACAATGGTGCACACGGTGCTGCCTGAGCCCATGTCATAGAACATGACATTCTGTGGAGACACCAAGGGCACTGTCACGGGAACTTTATCAAATGCAGGCTGCCTGTCCCCCTGCCTACCTGAAAACAAAGAACTATCGCCTTTTACCATAAAGCCGACCAACTCCAATGGGGACTGAAAGGAGGTTACTGCCACACTTTGCCAAGGGAAGGTCATGCAAATGAGATGCAAAGCAGGTCGAGGACCCTCTATGCTCAGCTGAGCATCCTGTGTATCCAGTGCTCAGGAGGCCTCCTTGGCTCACCTGTGCAGTGGAATTGATATCTTTCCGGCGGAAGACACCATAGCTGAGGGCAGTGGCAGTGTTGTCATTGATGAGCTGCAGCACTTTGAGGCCAGCCATTCGAGCAGCCTGCAGCACGGCTCGGCGCTCGGCCTGGTTGAAAAAGGCTGGCACGGTGATCACTGCATCCTTAATGGGTTGTTCTACAGAGGACAAAAGATCAGGATCTCAGCAACTCCAAACCTCAGACCAGGATTTCCAGACTTAGTGCAATGGACTCTGAGGCAGGGAATTCTCTCTGGCTGGGGCTGATCTTGTACATGAGGGTGTTTACTGGCCTCCTTGCCCTCTACATACTAGATGCCCATAGCTCATCTCCCGTTTGTGACAGCCAAATGTATCTTCATGCAAGAGGCCAACTTTCACTAAGAGATAAAAGTGTCCCTACTTGACAGTCAGTGCAGATTTTGGGGACCTCGCTGCCACTGACCCCACCTTGATACTCACCTGCAAAATCTTCAGCCAAGGACCGGGAGTAGTTGAGAACCATGCCCAGCACCTCCTCAGGGGAGAACTGCAGCTCCCTGGAGAGAGGAGTTGAGCAAGACCACTAGTCATGAACACATGCCAGTAAGGAGCCCAAGAGGGCTACTGAGCCCACCTTCCCCCACTAGACACTCACGGACTGATCTGGAAGCGCACAGTCTGCCTCTGTGGGTCAATGTTTAGCTCATGTTCTGGGAAACGGTCCCGATAAAGGGCCACATGAGGGTTATCTGCCTGCTTTCCTAAGAGGTGCTGAAAATAACGGAGCGTAGCCTTTGGGTTCTTGATGGCCTGAAAGAAGACCCAGCAGGTTCTTAGGCCCAATCCCAGCTTAGCCTGCCTCTTACATCATAGAAACAGACAAGAGACCAGCTTCCAGAAGAGCCAATCCAGCGGTGGGGCTGCTACTCACCATGCCTGCTGCACTGTCACCTAAAAACCTTTCATTTTCTTTCAAGGTCACAGTCACTGGAGTTTTCCTCCGAGATTCCCTAAAAAAAAAAAAAAAAAAAAAAGCATCATTAGCCCAGCTTCCTGCAGGGCGGTATGAACCTAGGAGCCTCAAGGTCTCACAGTGGGCTCAGCCACCCACATCTGTTTTGAACACTACAAATCACACACACACCCTAGACACAGATCTGTCCTTACTTGTTCAATACAATCTCCATGGGCACTCCAGGCTTGACAATGGCCACCTTCATGGATTCACTGCCCAGGTCCACAGACATCACAGCCAATGTGTCTGAAGGGAAAATAGAAAAGTACACTTATCTGTTTAGCTCTCTGCTTCCCACACCTTCCTGGGTTAAATCAAATAAAGCAGTCTATGATCTAGACAGAAAGATGGCAAAGACAAAGAAAAGAGCCTAGCTCTGGCAACCCGACACACTCCAGTGGGCACCTCAGGCCCTCTTCTTTTGGTCCCTTTGCCAGGTACATACCGCTCAGTGCCAACAGGTCCGCCAAGAGGACAGCCACCAAGGCCCAGCAGGCTAGCCTCCTTGGCCTCTGCCTTCTTACTGTGGCTGCCATCGTGAACCTTGCAGAGAAGGAAAAAACACTTGTAACTGGATGCCGAGTGAAGAAGGAAAACCACATCCCAGAACAGACAAGCTCTAAGATTCCTATCTGTGGCACTTGAGGCTAAAGGCAGAGCAGCGTGGACTCCTCCCCTCCCCTTCCGAGGAGTTTCAGTCATTCTACACATCCTCCTGAGTGTCCCACATTTGGGCCTAGGCAAAAGGGCCCCGATGCTTAGCTCCACGACATCATTAGACAGACAAATAGGAAGGAGACTTGACTTTCTTTCCGTCCATGCAAAGGCAAGTAACTGGCGCACCACAGCACTGTGCGCGCTGTCACACACCTGGAACTGGGCCAGGGACCCTCGAAACCTGCTCAACTACCTCACACCTGGAGCTCCCCTGGTGGTGGGGAAAGCCAGGCTGAACCTGCACAGGAACTGGAAGGTGATGACGTTGGGGATGGCTGGCATGGAAGGGCATGTCCCCTCCTCAGCATCCCTTGAGTACTGCCCGGCCCGCCCTCCTTGTCCATCCCACTCCTGGGCCCTGCTGCCCACGCAGACGCCGCAGTACGGGCTAAGGTTACCGACCGCGAGTGTTCACCTAAACCTCACCTGACGAAGGTAGAAGATCCCACTCCCGGAAATGGATTCGGCCCACCCCGAGAGCGAGGGGCCAGCCCAGCGACGGAACTGCAGGGCCGCAGGCACCGGTATCTGTACGGCCCTCACTCCCGCTACCGGCCCGCCCCCGAAGCTAGCACGCTGCTTCCCCTAGGAGCCACGGCCCGGTTGCTGCTCCATCCTCACCCCCGCTCCCTCTGGCCTTCAGCTCCTGTGTCCCTCGCTCCAGGATCAACGCGGCGCGTACGTATCCACACGGCCAACAGCACGACCCTAACCCAAGGCCCTTCACAACTCCCCTCCGTTTGCAAACTGTTACAGTAGCCACCAACCTCTCCGCGGCGTCTCGCGCACCAGCCGGCCCCGGACGCGGCGCACGCTCATTGGAGCCTCCGCTGCCCGGCCCTGCGCCGCACACCTGGCCCCACCCCTGAGGCCCGGCGCGCGTCTCCATTGGTCCACGTGGGAGGCCCGCCCCTCCCTGGCCCCACCCCCGAGGCGGCCGCGGGGCCTCAGTACCAGTTGGAACAAAACCGCCGGCGCCGGCCACTGATTGGACCACGTCACGGTTCGCGGCCGGGTCGCTCCTCGCAGGCCGTGTGCCAGCCCCAGTGCTAGACTCTTCGGTGGGGCGGCCCGCGGAACCCTGCGTGCGAGCCGGTGCTGGCGGAGGGTTCGGTCCTCATGGAGTTACCTGGGGCGTCCGCGCGAAGGACTGGAACTGCGCTGCGGCGATGCGGAAGAGGCGCGTGCGTTGGGGGCTCTAAACTGCCCTGGGCTTTGGCTAGACACCAGGGGACCGCTGCTTTACTCCAACCTTCCTGTTTCATTGAGGAAACCTAAGCCACAAAAATGATGTTCGCTGATAGGTCGGAGATAAGTCGTGTTTGTGACAGAACTTGGCTTTAACTCTGAACCCCATTAGTAGGAGAGACGATATTCCAAACTAAAACCAGGGGTTTAGTTGACTACATCATCTACATCATCCTTCTGGGTATTCCTGTTCCATTAAGTCTTGTATTTTCCTTTCCGTTTAACTAGTGGGGTCGTAGAATCAAAGTTCTAATGTACCCATCTCCCCAGCTATTTTCACTCCTCATTTCCCTTTCTAGTTATGTTCCCTTTCTAGTATGGTCCCATGAAAATGCGGTCCTTGGAGAGTGCACTAACTTTACAGCATCGTTCCAGGTGTAATTAGAAATACAGGGGCTGGGGCTGGAAAGATGGCTCAGTGGTTAAGAGCGCTGCCTGCTCTTCCAAAGGTCCTGAGTTCTATTCCCGGCAACCACATGGTGGCTCACAACCATCTGTAATGAGGTCTGGTGTCCTCTTCTGGCCTGCAGACATACACACAGACAGAATATTGTATACATAATAAATAAGTAAATATTAAAAAAAAAGAAATACAGTGGCTGGAGAGATGGCTCAGCAGTTAAGAGCACTGACTGCTCTTCTGAGGTCCCGGGTTCAATTCCTAGCACCCACACGGCAGCTAACAACTGACTCCAAGAATTGATACACACAGACATACATGCGGGCAAAACACCAATCACATAAAAGTAAATAATTTTAAAAAACAAATAGAAATACGACTGGGCTGTGGTGGCACATGTCTTTAATCCCAGCACTCGGGAGGCAGAGATCAATCTCTGTGAATTAAAGGCCAGCCTGGTTGGCCTTACAAAGTGAGTTCCAGGACAGCCAGAGCTATTAAACAGAGAAACCCTATCTCGAAAAAACAAAATTAAAGAAATTAGAAATACAGAGATCTTTGCTTAAAGGTTGGCTCTCCTCACTAAATTAGTACCGGTGTCTGCGCAGGTCTTTTTCATGCTGTGACTCTTTGGTTTGTTTTCCTCCGGTTCTAGAAATAGAACCCTGGTGCCAGTTTTGTCATTGCCAGACACGGAAAACCTGAGCCCTGTCTGTTCTCTCTACAGTTTTGTGATGCTGAGAGTCTGGTGTCTGTGTTAGGGAACCCCTTGCTATTGTTATGGGGCAGTTTATTTCTTTTTAGGAATGGTTCGAGGCTGGGAAAGTAGGTAAGGATACAGCTCTTGCCTGGCGCACCTGAAGCTCTGGATTCCTTCAACAGCACCATTCAATAAATAAACGGTATTCAGGTAATATAAAAAATAGAAACAAAGAGACCTTAGACCTTTGCTTGAAGTTGTAACAGTGTAATCACACTAAACAAAAGAGATGCAATCTTGGAAAGTTTTCTAGATAAAAGTAAATCCCGTGACATCAACCACAACCTCCCACTCTCCTCAGTAGTATAAGTAATGGGATTTCACTGTGTAGCTTTGGCTGTCCTAGAACTGGATCTGTAGACCAGCTGGTCTCAAATTCGGAGATCCACCTGCCCCTCTCCCTCCTGAATGCTGGGATTAAAGGCATGAGCCACCACTGCCTGGCACTATTTTTCAACTCTGAGACTTTTCCATGTTGGTGGTATTCACCTCATTGTTACTACTGTACAACATTGCATAATGCAGGGGTTGTTTGCCATAGTGATGACTTCTACCACATACATGGGATGTGTGCACAGAGACTGACCAGAAAGGATGTCAGGAGTCCTGCTTTATCAATTTCTGCCTCATTTTTTAAGACCAGGTTTCTCATGAAACATGGAGCTAGGCTAGTGCCCAACCCCAGGGGACTGTCTTATCTCCAACTTCAACAATACTTGGTTGTAGATGCATGGGGGCTTTGTTTTGTTTTTAAATTCTTTTTTTATGCATTTTCATCTGAACTCAGGTCTTCACGCTTGTGTAGGAAGCATGCTTACCCACCAGACATCTCTCTAGTGCACCCCGTTCTTTCTTTTTGCCCTGCACCTTCATATTCTGTTACTGTTTTTCTTTGGTGTTTCTCTGTGTAGCCCTGGCAGTCCTAGAACCAGGCTACCCTCAAACTCAGAGATCTGCCTGCCTCTCCTCTGCGTTCTCTGTGCTAGATTAAAAGTCTGTCATCACACCCTATTTTTTTTTTTAAACAAGGTCCCTACTACATAGTGCTAGTCCATAATGGACAGGCCCTCACTATGTAGAAGTTTTGCTACTGACCATGAATTTGAGGCAACCTATTTGCCTAAAATTCTGCCTCTTGAGTGCTGGGATTATGAGTATGTGCTTCTAATTTTCTATTTTTGCTTTGTTTCTATTTTTGGGGGGCGGGGAGGCTCAAGACAGGGTTTCTCTGTGAAATAGTCCTGTCTGTCCCAGAACTCCCTGTGTAGACCATGCTGGCTTCAAACTCAGAGATCTGCTTGCCTCTGCCTCCAGAGTACTGGGATTAAAGGCCTGTGCCACCACCACCTAGTTTGTTTTTGAGACAGGGTCTCATGTAGGTTGGCCTTGAACTCAGTCCTCCTGGCTCTACCCAATTGCATAGTTGCATGGAAAATATTTTGTTTCTCAATAATAATTCGACTTTGGTCAAAGAGGCAGCAGACTAATTCCAATTGTTTTGGACAAAGACTTTGCGTTTAACACTTACTAAGCCTGTGATGGGCAGTGTTCTCCAGAAATAGTTATAACTTAGCATTGCCCACAGAAGTTTCAATCAACTATGTCCAATGGTTCCTTGTACTTTTTAACCTACCAGTTGTTGCTGACCTGGAGGCTGTTTCCTGTTCCGAGGACTGGTGCCCCAGAATGCCCTCGATGGAAACAGTGGTATTGCCATCACAGTTCTCGGCCTCCATCTCTGCCCCCTTGGGAGCTGTAGCAGGTGTGAGTGCTCTAGGGAGCCACCTGTTTTGTTCTTTAGCCAGAAAAGAACAGAATTTCACAAGACCAAGTGTAGAACGATGGGAAATTTTCAAGTAAAAACATCTGATCTGGATTGACCTTGGCTGATGAACTCACTGTTCCAATCCAGAACTTGTTCATATAGCCCTTCTCTGGCACTAAGCAGAAATCCGAAGAAAAGAACATCACTGACATGCAAGGGTAGGGCCGAAAGTGACAAGATTACAGCGGACACAAATGGAGGGTAGCAGCCTGTACAGACCAGGACTCCTGAGATTTAGCAGAATGAGGTAGGATCTAGAGTTTAAGACCTGACAAGGCTACCTAGCCAGAAAGACACCCAGCCAAAGCATACATGTTTGATTTATACAAAATTTAAAGACAAATGGTTATTGAAGGGAGGGCTGTGCTTCCCCTTAAGGAAAGATAGTGTTCCAAAGAAGTCAGTAGGCAGCTTCTAGAGAGCTGGCAACTCACATTCCTGATTGCAAATGGTATGTTCTATTTGTGCAATTTCCTTGTGCACCAGGTTTCTCTGTGTATGCCTGGCTGTCCTCAAACTCAGAGATCCACCTGCCTCTGCCTGGGATTATAGGCCTGTATCACCAGTGCCCAGCTGAGAGAAGCTATTTTCAACAGAACAGAAACCAGATTTTCATTTTCTTCTTTTAGAAGAGAGAAAAAAATTACCCCATAGTTATGGAAGAAAACTGGAACAGCATAAGAAAAAGAATTCAAAAACAAAATCAGGAGGCAGAAGCAGGTGAACCTTGGAAAGTCAAGACAAGCCTGGTCCTCTGGAAGAACAGTCAGTGCTCTTCATGGCTGGACCATCTCTTCAGCCTCTGCTTACACTTACACTTACACAGGCATTTGATTCTTTTTATTTGTTGTAGTTTGGGATAAAGAAATTATGTATCGCCGGGCAGTGGTGGCGCACACCTTTAATCCCAGCACTCGGGAGGCAGAGGCAGGCGGATCTCTGTGAGTTCGAGACCAGCCTGGTCTACAAGAGCTAGTTCCAGAACAGGCTCCAAAGCCACAGAGAAACCCTGTCTCGAAAAACAAAAACAAAAAACAAACAAACAAAAAAAGAGCACGGCACATTCATGTATTCATGTAGGTTTAGGTTGTTTACAGTCACAAGGACAACCTGAGCTTGGAAACATCTTTGTTTGCAAAAGTGGGAACATGTAAATCCCCAGCAAACCCACTCCTATTTCCTACACCTGGGAAGGATAACGAGATGCCATGAGAGTCTGCTAAGGGGTCTCAGGAATTAGGTATAGGATAGGATAAACACAATACAGAACCAGTTGATGCCACGTCTGATCAGCTGCCTTGTCCAGTCATCTGTCCAGGGGTGAAGAGCACCAACAGCAAGATGCCAACCAAGAAAGTGTAAGAGTGTGCAAACCTGTCCTTCAGGTTTTAAGTTGTTCCGTAGGCAGACAAAACCACACCTTAGGGCTTGCTGCCCTCCTCACAAAAGTCATTGGCTGGATCAAAATCCCACAACACTTCCCCTTTATTTCTAATTAAGAAGGGTATTTTTAAATAACATGAA